AAGCAAAAATGGCCAGACTTCGTCTCACCTATTTTGGTCATGTTGTCAGAAGGGACCATTCCTTGGAGAAGGATGTCATGCTTGGTAGGGTGGAGGGTTGATGAAAGAGGGGCAGGCCTTCAACAAGGTGGATTGACATAGTGGCTGCAATGATGGGCTCAAGTATAGCAGGGATTGTGGAGCTGGCGCGGGATCAGGCAGTGTTTCATTCTGCTGTGTATGGGGTTGCTATGAGTCAGAAACAGCTCAACGGCACCTAACAACAACAATTGAGAAAGGGACCAGTTCTTGGAGAAGGATATTATGTTTGGTAAAGCAGAGGGTCAGCAAAGAAGGGGAAGATCTTTAAGCAGATGGATTGAAACAGTGGCTGCAACGATGGATCCAATCATAACAAGGATTGTGAGGATGTTGCAGGACCAAACAGTGTTTTGTTCTGTTGTATATAGGATTACTATGAGTCAAGGCTGACTCAATGGCACCTAACAGCCTAACAATAATTAAGAAATACCAATAGCCAAATTTTCATTAAGGATTATTGGCAATAATGCTGTTTATTATTGTTTATTATTCTAAAATCACTGCCTATTTTTCCTAAATCACCTATTTCATGGAACTTGCATGCTTTATTATATGAGAAAATAGGTTGTGATTATCATATGGTCATTTTTATGATGCAGATAGATGAAATAGATAGAAAGTATCACTAAAAGTATTCCTAGATGCTGCTGTATCTCTAATAATTAAAGATATGATCCTAGAAAAGAAATGCAAAAATGAAATCATTTTATTCTAGGTATGTAAGAACAATGCAAAATTTTATTCTGACAAATCAAGAGAGTAAAATTTGATTGGAACACATTCTGGTACCTAGTGCCACTCTGACAAGAATATACCACAAATGGGATGACCTTAACAAATAGGAGTTTATTCTTATAATTTGGAAGCTTTAAGTCCAAGTTCAAGGTGCCAGGCTCTATGGGATGAGTGAAAGCCCCTCAACCTTGGAGTCCAGCTCTGCCTCCTGCTCCCAGCCACTGGAGCTAGAGGAGTTTCTTCACTAAGACAGCTGTTGGCTGCTGAGGCTGAGAAGCCCCATGGTTGACAAGTAAAAGGCACAGTCCCAATGTTACCAAACCACATGGCAGACCATTAACTTAAGTCCATTGTAAGTCCCAAGGTCAGCAGAGCATAGCAGGCTGCTGAGCAATGACACAGCTACATGCAGCGCCCAAGGGTACTGTAGGCTCGAGACCATTTCCAAGGCTTCTCCTTACATACAGGGAGCAGACCACATCCCAAAGGTAGCTACTCAGCTGCTTGTGGTAAATCCCACCATGGAGCTGATTGCCAGTCTCATCATGGGAAATAACTGCCACCAGCTGTCCAACCACTCAACCAGGCCCAGCCAAGTTGACACACAAACATAACTAGCACAGAACAGTAAGATATAAATATGATAAAGATGTATACATCTGTGTGTGTTTGTGTGTGCACATGCACATGTGTTTTCAACCATATAGATTACTGAAGATATGAGCAAAGTCTCAGAACTGCAATGGCTCTTTTAGGTAATAATGGGTGATTACTGGGGAGTATAAAGAACTTACCACATTGCTATTGAATTTCATCATTATTCACAAAATCCCAAAGAATATTGCCTGATATCTTAAATTTTATAAAGCAGGTGTTCCTTTCTTTTATCATAGGATTACAGGGTGAATATTTTTCTTCGTCAGAAATGGAATGATCCTCGTCTTGCATATAGTGAATATCCTGATGACTCTTTAGACCTAGACCCTTCCATGTTGGATTCCATTTGGAAACCTGATCTGTTCTTTGCCAATGAAAAGGGTGCCAACTTTCATGAAGTTACTACAGACAACAAATTGTTAAGAATTTTCAAAAATGGAAATGTTCTCTATTCAATAAGGTGAGTCATAGATTTTGTCCTGAATTAGAAGTTTGTATACTGTTATTATATTTTCTTCCTATTCTTCTTTTTTTTTTGTCAGGGGGGTGGGGGGTGTAAAAGTTTTGCAATTTGTGAGCAAATGCTTATCATTGCTCCACTTAAGTTCCTCTAAAATGCATTCCCCAAATACATCTAATCAAGATGTAGTTATGTACTCTTGTTAATAACATAGATTCAAGAACCAGATCCAGGAAGTGTATAGTTCCCAGATATCTGTTCTTTAAGCAAGTGTCCCAGTTAATTCTTAGCATCAACCCATTTGTCAGGAAGCTTAAAGAAAAATTGAAAGGCAGCTGAATCATATATTGTGATTATACTTTTTGTATACATATCTATTTAAATATTTATACATGAAGTAATGCTTAGATTTCCTATCTGATATCTATTTCACATAAATTATTTTTCAGGTATATTTACATTTTAAATTTTTTGTGGGGCTCCAACCATTTTTCACCTTAGCTGTCAATTTCAATCCTTTGTAGCATGTTGCAAGTAGTAATTTTTTAATAAACTTTGAAGAAAATAGAGAATAAATAAATCACTGTAATATGTAAAAAAATGTTAGCAGTCAAAACCTTTATCATGATTGCTGGTAAAGATCTTATTTACATTTCAATTATTCATTTTACATTTATCAGTAGACAATATAAAATTTAAACTTAATACTAAAATATGAAAATAACTAATACTAAAACATAATCACTAATTTCTTTTAGTTTAACTCTATAACTCTAGAACTCATTCAACTTTAGTCATACATTAAATATCAAAGAGGTACAAATTCAGTAAATAGGAAACTACAAAGTTATGCTTTGATGATTTGTATGGCATCTGAAAAATCTTCTAACATGGAGTGATAATCTTAAACCTATCATAAGTATTTTCTTAATTCAATTGTGAAAAACAGGACATCAGGAGCAGAAATGACATTATTTTTCTTAGGGCAAGGAGAATGTGCTCTGTTTAGAGACAAGCAAATATTTTTTTTATTTTTTTTTTTATGTCAGTAAGTGTTTTAAAGGCTATCACAGTGTACTTAATATTGAAACTTTAGACTTAAAATAAATCCCTTATACTTAATTTCTCTCTTATTTCCTCTTTTGTTAACTTGTTTTCTCATAAAGAAAGGAAACATTTGATTTTGAATTTGCCTGCCAAGCATCAGGGATAGTTTCTATTTTTGTCAGGTAATAGACTAAAGTGAAGGAATGTGATTGAAATTTTTACTCTTAGTTGCTTGGTAATTTTTGAAACTAATTTTTTCTGCAAAGTGGTTTCATAAATAATGTTAATTTCTTCAATCGAACATATTATGTCTGCTTTCACATGTTTTCTGTTTCATGTGAACAAATTTTCTTTCAATAAATTTATTAATTCCTAAGAGTAACAAGATGACATACTGTATTATTAGTAAAATAATACTTTCATCAGATGTCTGAAAAAATTGTTTGTTAATCTTGAATGATTAAGTCACTAAGAACATATTGTATACTGTTAATATGTATGCACCAAACAGCATAACTGAAAAACATGTAAAGCAAAACTGATAGACTTGAAAGGAGAAATATACAAATCTAAAATTACAATTGAAGACTTCAACTCTTCTCTCTCAAAAATTGATATATAGCTAAACAGAAATTTGTCAGTGGTACAGAAGAGCTCAACATCAACAGAATCTAATTGGCATTCATAGAACATTCCACCCAGCAGAATATACTCTATGTCCAAGTGACCACAGAAAATATACCAAGAAAGGCCATATCCTGAGCCATGAGATAAACTTCAAAAAATTGAAATGACTTTTAGTCAGAGAGAGTGTGTTGTCTGGCCACAAGATAATCAAACTATAAGTTAATAACAAAAGATAATGGAGAATCTCTAATCACTTGTAAACTAAACAACACAATTCCAATTAATCCAAGGGTCAAAATGGAAGAGGGAACTACAAAATATAATGAACTGAATAAAAATCCAAACAAAAGATAAATTTGTGGGATAAAGCTAAAGGAATGATGAGGGAAATTTTTGTAGTACTCTTAGTGACCTTATATATAACAACAGGAAATACAACCTAGTCCTATGCCATTTTCACAATATTTACTATGCTTGAGCCCATCATCACAGCCACTGTGTTAATCCATCCTGTTTAGGGTCTTCCCCTTTTTTGCTAACCCTCTGCTTTACCAAGCATAATACCTTTCTTCAGAGACTGATTCCTTCTGACAGCTTGACCAAAGTAGGTAAGATGAGGTATGGTCATTCTTGCTTCTAAGGAAGAATTTTGGGGCACATGTTCCGTTGGAGATTTTTTTAATTTACTAGCAATCCATGATATTTTCAGTATTCTTCACCAATACCACAATTCAATGTCATCAATTTATCTTCAGTCTTCCTTATTCATTGTCCAGCTTTCACATGCATATGAGGTGATTGAAAATACCATAGCTTGGATCATGATTGCTGTTAGGTGCCATCAAGTCATAACAACCCTATGTATATCAGACAAAACACTGTCCAGTCATGCACCATCCTCACGATCCTTGCTATGTTGAGCCCATTATTGCAAACCGTGTGTCAATCCATCTTGTTCACAGTCCTCCACTTTTTTGCTGATTCTCCACTTTACCAAGCATGGTATCTTTCTCCAGAGAATGGTCCCTTCTGACAACATGACCCATGCAGGTGAGACAAAGCCTAGCCATTCTTTCTTCCAAGAAGCATTCTGGCTGCATTTCTTCCAGGACAGATTTGTTCCTTCTTCTGGCAATCCATGGTATTTTCGGTATTCTTCACCAATGCTGCAATTCAAAGACCATCTTCTTCAGTATTCTTTGTTTATTGTCCACCTTTCACATGCATATGAGGTGATTGAAAGTATCCTGGCTTGGATTAGGTGCACCTTACTCTTCAAAGTAACGTCTTTACTCTTCAACAAAGAGGTGTTTTGCAGCAGATTTTCCCAGTGCAATAAAAAGTGTGATTTCTTGACTGCTGCTTCCATGGATATTGACTATGGATCCAAGTAAAATGAAATCTTTGACAATTTCAATTTCTTCTCTGTTTTTCATAATGTTGTTTATTGTCCAGTTGTAAGCATTTTTGTTTTGTGTTGAGGTGTGATCTAACATAGTTGGAAGACTGAAGACTGTAGTCTTTGATCTGTATCAGTAAGTCCTTTACTTTCAACAAGCATGGTTTTGTCATCTGCATATCTTGAAGGTTTCCTTCAGTTCTGATGCTATGTTCTTCTTCATATAGTCCAGCTTCTCAGATTATTTGCTCAGTGTGCAGATTGAATAAGTATACTGAAAGGGTACAACCCTGACACATTCCCTTCCTGATTTTAAACCATGGAGTATCCCCTTGTTCTATTTGAAGGACAGCCTCTTATTCTATGTGCAGGTTCCTCATGAGCATAATTAAGTGTTTTGGAATTCCCATTGTTCATAATCTTATCCTTAATTGGTTATGATCCATACAGTCTAATGCCTTTGCATAGTCAATAAAACACAAGTAAACATCTTTTTGGTATTCTTTGCTTTCAGCCAAGATCCATCTGACAGCAGAAATAATATCTCTCATTCTTTTCTTCTTCTGAACCCAGCCTGTATTTCTGGCAGTTCCCTGGCAATACACTGGTGCAAGCATTTTTTAATTATATTCAGCAAAATTTTACTTGTGTATGATATTAATGACACTGTTTGATAATTTCCACATTCTGTTGGATCACCTTTCTTTGGAATGGGCAAAATATCAATCCCTTTCAGTCAGTTGGTCAGTGTCATAATTACGATATTGTGTAAACTTGGCTAGGTTTGGTTTTGAGTGCCTGGGCAGCTGGATATAGTGATTCCTCAAGATGAGACTGGTAATCAATTCCATGGTGGAATCCACTGTGAGCAGCTGAGTATCTGCTTTAGGGATGTGGTCTTTTTCCAGTATATATGAAGAAGCTTTGAGAAAAGTCTATGGACTTTTTGGCATACTAGGACCCTGCACATAGCCGAGTCTTCATCAATAGCCTGCCATGTTGTCTGCCAATCTTGAGAGTGTTTCTGGACTTGAACTAGTGGCCTGCCTTGTTGCTTATAATCTTGAGAGTATACTATTTTACTTGTTGACTTTGGGTTCATCAACCTCAGCAGCCAACAGCTGCCTGAGTTAAGAGATGCCTCCAGATCCAATGGGCTAGGAGCAAGAGGCAGAGCTGAAGCCCAAGGTTGTAGGACTTTCACCCAGTCCCTGGAGCTGGCACTTTGAACTTGGACTTCTAACTTTCTAAACTGTAACAGTATAAATCCCTGTTTGTTCAAACCACTAACTTGTGTTATTTTCTATTAGAGCAGCACTAGATAACCAAAACAGAATTTGGTACCAAGAGTGGAGTGTTGCTTTAACAGATATCTAAAATGTGGAAACAGCACTGTAGTCTATTCTTGGACCTGAGATCCCTGCACTGAGATGATGACTTAGGAACCTACAGAGAGACCAGCAGAAATATCAGCCTGAGACAGAGCAACAATCTTACCAACCCACACAGGAGAAAGCTGAGTGCCTTTGTTCAGGCAGCTTCCTGGTGGAGTAGGTTGCCTTTCGACACTACTTGGTAGAAGGGACCAGTGTGAGATGGAGAAGTAGGCCTGCTGGGTCATGGATCACAGAGCTGAGTGTCTTTGCACAAGAAGCTTCCTGGCAGAGTGGGGTTTTTTTGGTTATTAATTGGCAGATGCTGAGATACCAAGGAAATGGTAGCAGAGCTGCCTCAGCCTCAAAGTTTAGGACCATGGCCTCTGGGTATGGAACCACCACAGCCTCCTAGGATTCAAGAAGTCAGATCTTCACTAACTTGGTTCTGAAGTGTGGGGCTGTTGTTCCTGGGAACCAGTGGGATGGGGCCATAGCTGCTCCCCAAAAGGGAGAGGCAGTGTTGTCATGTCCAAGGGGCAGAGGAACTGGGG